AATCTAATTTTTAGACAAATGTTGATGGTAAAAACGTTTATTTATGTCAAGTAGCTTATTTTTTGGGAATTTCCTAGCTAGTGTTTTCCTTAAATTATTTACTATCAATATAATTTTCATAATTTATTTCATACGTTTGACTAGTAAGTAGTAAGTACCTACCTACCAACTTCAAATGATTATGAAAAAAAAAATCGTCTCTATAATTTACTATATGTATGTTTAGTATGTACCTACTTTTAATATTTTTAAATAGCAACAATTTATGATTCACCTTGTTTTACGTTTTCAAGCTTTTTGATCGAGCGAACACGTATTGATCGATATTTATAGATAAAATAAACAATTAGTGAAAATTTCAAGTATCACAAGGAAAAAAAAATTCTATAATATAGAACAAATTTTAGTAGATATAACTATTTAATAGGTACAATGACTGAAATGATTTACTTATTATGGCTATATAAATATAGTTATTTCTTATGGTAATGTTTACTATATTTTATAGTTAACGAAGTTTTTAATGTTTGAATTAATTCAAAAATATAGTTAAAATAGCATATTTCAGTTCGAATAACTATAATAACTTGACTATGATATTTTAGTAAATCTGACTACATAACCTTGTAGCTATCCCAATAGCAATTTTAACGTACAGTCAATCCTACTATTTTTATAGTACAAATAACTGTTTTGTTATTTCCGTGCAACTGTTATTTTCAGTTTTTATATTGAAACAAAATAAGAAATCAATTTTGCCGAAGCTAGTTTTGGGTAAAAATTTTCGTTTTTTCTCAATTTGGTTTTTGTTTTTCCGATTATTTCGAAAAGTATGTAGGTACTGGGAATTTACCTTAAAAGTACCAACTATAGATTCGATTTCCTACCAGTTAGGCAGATAATAATATATATTTATATAGAAAATTAATGCATTTTATCTTTTATGTAAAACGTGTAGGCACACATACATACGAGTATATTTATAAAAAGGTGGGTAAGTGGATGTCGCTCTGCTGTACAGTAGGTTACAAGTGGGTCACTGTATAATGGATGCTATTAAATTTGAATTCAATGATACAATATCATTGTATAAGAAAAACGATTCTGAGCGAAGACGGTATGTCAGTCTAGGTTTAAGACAAATTATATACATATCTATGGTATTAAAAAAAAAATTGACCTATAATAAATTCCAAATTAATCATATCACATTATCACAATATCCATTAGGTACTTATAACACGTTACACATTAACATCAATAACAAACCCTGATACTATCATAGATATATAATAGTACACTTTAGAAGTTTCAAGTAGGTACACACGAATAATATTATATAAACACAACAAAATAACTAGGTTTTTTAATATGTAATTTCGGCCAAATTTGAACATAAAATGACTATAAAAATAAACTGTGATTGTATATTTTTTAGATTTTTCGGTAAGAGAATTAAATACTTACGTGGAATCTTGTTTTAAATTTTCAATCCTTATCTATAAAAACTGAAAATTTTATAATTTATTAATTACGATGATTAATAATTTTCGAGATTTTGAAAAATTCTGTCAAAATTCGATGTTTAAATGTTTATAAAAAAAAATTGTGCCTATGTATTTTTAATATTTTTCAACTGATATTGTAACAATATATCAGGAGCCTTGTATTAAATTTCTACACTTTTTGGCCCAACAGATAAAACTTTATTGATATTCATAGAAAAAAAAACTAAAAAAATTTAAAAAGGAAAATATCCGTAAACAGCTCAAAAAGAGTCAAAATATTTTCAAAATCGTATGGTGTATAGGAAATGCTAATCTAAACATTCAGTGAAATTTTCATGTATCTATAGTTATTCGTTTATGAATAACAACAAAATAAGGAAATCACTACATGAGAAATCGAGTGAACATCCAATGTTGTAAAAATTTGAATTTCAAACACTCATAAAAATTTAATTTGACTGTCCGGTAGAGGTTTTTTTTATTGATAAAGGTAGAATAACTTATGAGTAATCTTGTATTATATTTTAAAATCTTAGATTGAAAAAGAATAATTTTTACGAATTCCTAACTCAAAATAATTTGCTAATTTTCGTGATTTTTCTATATTTTGTCAATTTTTGAACTTTAAATGCTTATAAAAAAAAACTGTGACTAACGATTTTTAATATTTTTCATCTGCCTTTGAAACAATATACTAGGAGCCTTCTATTAAATTTTCAAGTTTTTCTACTCAACAAACAAAGTTTTATTGATATTTTTAGAAAAAAAACTAAAAAAAAAATGGAAAATGAAAATGTCCCTAAACAGTTCAAAATAAATCAAAATATTTTGAAAATGTTATCGTGTATAGAAAAGGCAAATATAAACAACCAGTCAAAATTTCATGTTCCTACAGTCATTTGTTTTAAAGTTACACCAAAAACCAAATTCGATTTTGTCAAAAACCGATTTTGCGTAAAAATTCCCGTTTTTCCTTAATTTTTATGTTGTTTTTCCCGGCGCTTGTGAAAACTATTGGGAATTTTAAAATTTGACCTCCCGAATGCACCAACTAGATTCACTTTCCCATCGAAAAAGATACTGTTGAAGAAAACCGAAGCATTATTTCGACTACTTATCGTGTACACAGACACAAAAAAAAAAATAAAAAAAAACACATCATTGTAAAATCAATACATTCATCGTTTCACTCAGAATCTAAAAAACAACTTACACATCATCATTGTGAAATAAATACATTCATTACTTCGCTCAGTATTTAATATTGAACTTCATCAACAGAGAAAGAGTGACAATAGGTACTGAGTTAAAAAAAAATGTACTCAATGACGAGATATCTGTTGTTGAAACAAAATTTTACCCAAAACCAAGAACTGCAGTCATCTCAACATAAAAATTAACTCAAAATGTATGTAAAAAAATATGATGTTATTATTATTATTGTTTATTTCTTCGAAAAGATAATGGGCCCCATAGAACAGAATCGCAGGGGGCCAGGGCTTTCAAGATTTACAGCATTATAATTATAACGAAAATTCATAATATTATTACAATCTACAATTTAATTGTTTTAAAATGTTTGGCGGCTTATAAGTAAAGTGCGGATTTTCACGCACAAAAAGTAGGTATCAAAATATGCGATAAAACATGAAGTCAAAACCGTGAAAATATATAAGGAAAACAACTTTAAATTAAATGTATGTAATATTGAAAAAAAATTCGCAACTTTTATTCGAGAATTATTTTTACTAGTTTATAAATGTATGACTTAAAATAACCAAAAACAAACTTAATTATAAGTTGTTATTATGTCGATAATGCTTATTGTACCGAATTTCCTGCAGGCCATTGTATAGGATAAAACTTTTAGGATATAACTAATTATAAGTTGTTTAGTTTGCAGTTTTTGATTATTTTAAGTCATACGTTTATAAACTAGTAAAAATAATTATCGAACAAAAGTTGCGAATTTTTTTTTCAATATTACAATAATGACTACAAGTATATCTACTTAATAAACGAAAATCATTTTTAATTCTATAATTAATAATTTAATATTATTGAAATGAATAATCAATTAGTGTCTACAAAATGTTTTATTAATTTGTCTTTTTGACAAAATATGATTTTATACGTTTTAAAGGTTCGCTTCAGTATGCAATACATTTTGAATTAAATCCCAAAATTTGAAAAGGAAAAAATCCGCTCTCTACATATGAGACGAAGCTGCTAACTAAAAAACATACAATGAAGGTAACAGTAATTAATAATGGATTCTATTGTAGTAGATTAAAAAAAATACAATATGAAAGCAACTATATAGATTAAAGGTATAAGATAAAGTTTTATATTTCGTTCATTCTGCAGTCAATAGGTAATTTTTTTTCAAAGTATTACATATGAATGTTATTTTGACATACGTTTATATAAATAAATTTTACGACTGAACGGAACTTTTGTTGTAAAATTACATTACGAATTCGGGTCACGACTGATCTAATTTCGAAAGGTTAGTTCGAGAATGTTCAATTTCAAATAGTGGAAAAGTTGTTCTTAAGTACCTAAACTTCAAGACGAATTCAAATACGTTTTCAAAAGTTTTATCCTATATACAACGGCCAGGAAAGTCGGTACAATAAGCATTATTGGCATAATATAACAATATAACAACATGTCAATAATTTTGGTAGGACGCACAGACACGATCGGAATCACCTTAAAAAAATAATTTCCAATTACATTTTAATAAAATAATTGACATGTAGTCCCATTATAGGTATTGTTCATAATTATATCTTACTACCTACGTGTTGAATATTTGGGTAGACGTAAACATTACATTTATTGTCAAATCGTAATTATTCATAAATTATATTGCTCGTACAATCAGACAATCTACATAATTACTACCCACACAGTCTATATGTATATTAGGTAGATGTACGTTATATTGTTACACGCTGTGTTTAATTTAATGCGTTGCTGCACTTACATATACATTCAAAAAAATGTACTATCGGCGATTGGATCGTAAAATAATTACTATAATTACTGTAATTATAATCGTAAAAATGTGTATACAGAAAAAATGTTTGGTGTAACACCAGAAAAGTATCAAAATATATTAACATTTCGAGTGAAAAAAATAACGATTCCTATTTTATGTGTTGCCCGCAATTTATTTACAATATTACTTTCTAAAAAAATTTTGTTCGTTCAATGAAGTTATTTTAAACGGCTTCAAAAAAATAGAAAAAATCGTTTTTCGGCTCTCCTATATGAAATTGATAAGACTTCACTATAACCGTCCTTTTTCCTTTCCGCCATAGAATTATTATTTTATTTTATCGTATATAATATTATGGAACTTATTTCAACGTCGTGCGATATGTAAATGTTAATAACTCGTTCCGTATATGTTAATCGTCTCGTGCAGCATTCTAAATTTTAATATTTTGCATAAAACTTGCTGCGATAAGTCTTGTTTATGACTTATTGCGGTCGACTGCTTAACCCGGTGTGTGCAAACAAGTTAGCTACTGTTTCTGGTGATACTATATAGAACTCATTTCTTCGAATGCTTGAATTAAAACTTCCTGCTCTACGAGCAGACGCTTCTCTAATTGAATCTGTGTTTCTATATGCAGCTCTTCCAGTTAATTGGAATTCATTTATACAAGTCGTGAAATGTAACGATATAGTCGTGTCTTTCATCTCACCGAGTGGCGGCACACAACGCCTTTGAGTTTAATTTTACTAATGGGGAGAGCGAGGCGAGTTGACTATACTTTAAGGATTGATTAATTATATCCTGCTGCAAGCAACGGTTAGATTATCTTGATTTTTTTTACAGGCATATTCTACTGAGAGTAAATGTTAATTTTTTGGTTTCTTAATATTTAGTACCTCATATGTCTTAAAAATAATGTATGAAAGTTTGTAAATTTCCTGCGGCATTTCAACGGGTCAAGTTTACTAATGATTTGGTTCAAACATTTTATAAATCTCAATTGAATCTTTTAAAATAATTTTCATACAATATGAATCTAACAAGATGTAATACCAGCTATGTTTTGTGCAACATTTTTTAGGTCTAAGTGCACTCATAACTTGGTCAATTTTACTCAATTTACGTTTTCTTTTAATTTTGATTTTTTTAACAAATAAAATCTTTGAAGTCATAAACATCGTTCAATTACGATCAAATATATTTATAAGGACCATGTTCAAATCACTGTGGAGTTAGAAACATATTTCCGTTTAAATAACAAAGACCTGTGTCAACTAGCCCGAGAGTGTATTTTTGTGACGATTGTTATTCACACCTACGATATTATAGTATAGGTAATACAATTATTGCCAGTATAATATAATTGCCAGCAAATACCCAGTGGAGTAGCGAGGATCATGAAATGGGGGGGGGGTGTTCAAGTAATAATAATAAGTATAGATTAAAACCAAGTTTTACAGTTTTTGTATATAAATAAATGTAGGGTTCGGGACTTGACTGTTGCAGTCAAAATTGTCAAAATATGCTTGAATATATCCAGTTACATTTTTATATTATTTTTGAAAAAATATATGCATAAAACATGTTCCAATTTTGCTAAAAAAACTAATAAACAAGTAGGAATACAGATAAACATGATAAAAATTGTTTATACACGAATTTACTAATTCGAATTTAGATAGGTCGTAGGTACCTACCTATATTGATTAATATGATGAATAAAGGACACTATTGCATGTTTCGGACATTTCTAAACTTTTTTGAAATAAAACAACTTAATTTTTAAAAACACTGGCACAAAATACTATAGGTTAATAAATAACTAATAACGAATAATGTGATATGCGAACACCTTGATAAACGAACACTTCGTATATCTACTGATTTTAATTTCTTCGTACAATCTAGAATCTATAGATGTCAATCATAGTATTAACTATTGATCAAAATTTCAGAAAAAAAAAGGTTTTTGGCAGACAAAATTATTTTGTTTACAATATAAGCATGCATTTCTAATGTCGTTTTGTTTAAATTAAAATATTTATAAAGTTTTAAATATGATGACAATGAACTATAGAACAAAAGAAATGTAAATTTAATTTATTAAAATTATAGCAATTACCTAACGTATTGTTTTATAATTATTTTTTTTTTCTGAATATGACAATTAATAATAAATTATTTTGTTCGGAATCATTGTCATCGCAACTTCCACTGTCACTTTGGCGCAAATGTCAAGTCATGTCAAACGGTTATTTGTTTTTAAATCAAATAAAAATAAGAAAACCGTTCTATGAGAATTTGTTAACTTGGGGAATATCCAATGCCGAAGAAACTTAAGCTTTAAACGCTCACAAATAATAGTTTGACTTTCCTGAAAACTAATAGAAATCTTGCACTAAGTTTTCAAATATAAGAAATTATAACATTTTATAGTGAATTTCTAACTCAGAAAAGTACGCAAATTCTCATGATTTTGAAGAATTTTGTAAAAATGTTATCCATAGACGCTCGTAAAAACTATTGTGGATTTACAAGCAACTTTTATTTTAACTTCCACTAAGAACCACATATGAGGAACTTTGTATTAATGTATCATATTTTTTTGACCTAAGGAAAAGTTTTTATCGACAATTATTAAAAAACATTAATAAAAATTTAAATTTTCTTTAAACCTATGTCATTATTTAAATAACTAACTTTATTTATTCAAATAAATTGAACAATTTAAAATATAACATAGTTATAAGAAATAAAAAAAATATTTGAAAATAAGTATTTGATTTTAAATATGAATACTTTGAGAACTTTGAAAGTTCATATCTGACGTATTTACCAGAACTTACATGAAAGTGTCTTTATTTAAAGAACTCGCAAATTCAGAGACCACCCTCGCAAATTCTTGCAAATCAAAACGAAGCTTTGGACACCGGTTTGGTGAAAATCGGGTAAAGTGGGTGGGCTTCATGAAGTTAGCCCACTCGCCACTATAGAATGTGTAAAAGTGACTCGCAAATTCAAGGAGTAATTCTCACAAATTACTCTCACAATTTTAATACCATTTTCAGATTGCTATTATTATGTCGGTGAGCCAAGTTCATGGACGTTATAAATAGCTAGAAATGAGTAATAAAAAGGGTATATAAAATATTATAAAATAAACATTCGGTGAAAACTTCGTGTATCTAAAGTTATTTTTTCTAGAGTTACTTCAAAAATCAAAATCGAATTTGTCAAAAACCAATTTGCATAAAACATCTCATTTTTCCTTAATTTTAATTTTTACCTGTACATTTAAATCTAATGATTCAACTTTTTATATCTTTTTTTATCTTATAACTTATCTAAAATAATCTAGGACCACTACAATAAATACTAACAATCGCTTAAGTACCTATATAATATTCTTCACGTTTAAATTGTAATGCAATAAACAAATAAAGGACAACACGTGCTTAATTGTTATCGGATAATCATTGCTATATCGATATAATAATTATATTTTCTATGTAAATAATTTATATGCATGCATAGATATTATGTATCTAAATGTCTTTTGAAATCAATTTATACTAGGTGACTTGATAAATGTTTAAAGCCAAATTAGTCAATTTTTCCCAGGTTACCCCTAATGGTAAGCTATATTATTTCTCACAAAAAAAATGTATAATAATATTAAAGATCATCATAGTTCAAGGGGGTTCAATAACCTGAAGGCTACAACTATATGGACTTATGATGAGTTTATTTTTCATTTAATCTTCAATATTCTTCCATAATATTATATATAGGTTACTATAACAAAATTATTAGACTTTGTTAAAATTTTAGATTTGGAGCAGAGCGAGAAATATGTTGGTTTTACAATATTATATGATGTTTGCAACAAAATTCAAAATTCAAAAAAAAAAAGATTTAAGCGTAATAACATAATTGTTTTTTAAGGACGTGTCTGAAATTTAAATTTTAACGAAATCAATAATATTATTCACGAGTAAAATAAAGATTTTCATTTTCTAATGTTGCAATTTATTCGAAAACGACTATCTGCATAGATGTACTTGACATTTTGACCAAATGTTTATAATATTATAGTTTTTTACACATGGTAAAATTTTCAAAATATTTTAAATCTTAGTTTTAGCTATTTATATACATTTTCAGTTCTCTCAATTTTTTTCAAAAATACCTTTTGGAAAAATATTTCTCACTTGATCAAAAAGCCTTAACATATAATAGGTATAAGGTTCCTAACAAGTCGTTTTTACTGAAACAAAAAAAAAAAGTTCAGTGTATATCTACAATAATTTTTAGTTACCTAGCGTTTGAAATTGGAAATTTGACGTATTTCGTAAAAATCGCAAAAATTTCACGATATTTGTGGTTAAAATTTCATATAATTTTTAATATTTATATACCTAAGATAAGAAAATTAAATATACTAATATGTTCCTCGTAAGTTTTTTATTTACTGGAACTAAATCAATTTTTATAGACATTTCGAGTTCAAATTATTTTGAGGGAATTATATAATATGGAAACGATTTTATAGTTATTTTGTTATAATTCAAAATTTTTCGTAGGGATTTGAAAATTATTTTACGTAGGTAAATTTATTATAATATTTTGTATGCAAAATGATATTTTCAAATCATTTAGATTCGTTTTATGTTATTATTACCTATTTATACAATTATACATCGAACCTAGCTATAATCAAATCGTTCTACCGCGAGTCGACTCAAAAATTAATATTGATATAAAATATAAATAGTAATGATTAAAATTCATAATATGGTAATAAATGAAATGTTATATACAAAAAAAGCGGGTAAGTGGATTTCGCTCTGCTGTACAGTAGGTTAAAATTGCATAATGGACTGTATTAAACTTGAATTCAATGATATTCTATCATTGATATTTGTATAAGAAAAACGATTCTGAGGGCAGACGGTTTGTCAGTCTGGATATTTTATATTATCATTAATTATTATATCATGTAAGTTGAATTAATATTTTATATTATTATTTTTTATTCGTTTCTCCGGTAATAAACAAAGCGTTAGGTATAAATTTAAATCCAATTTTTAGCTGTTTTTCGTAATTTTTCGGTGGTTTTTACAGTGGCATTAAATAACTATTGATAAAATCGAAAAATGACCTCTTTAAAGTACCATATTGATCCAATTTGCTAAAAGATAAGGTACTATATGTTGAAATCGAAAAACTCCTTATGGTAGAAACTAGAAGTTTTGTATACAGAATATAAAAATAAATAAACACCATTGTAAAACAACTAGCTTCATCGCTCAGCTCAGAATTTAAAATTAATTCAACCTACCTTATTACTAGGCAATAGTAAAATAAATTACTTATTAAAGCAATATTTGTTTATTTATTTTTTGTCAAGGACATTACTACAGTTTTAACATATTGACCATTCGTTAATCGTTATAGTCTATAGAGTGTTAATAATAATTGGAGAATGACATATTATTATATCTAAGGGTGGCATTTGGAATGTAAAATAAACTGGAATCTCTAATATTATGATTCATGACAGTTAATTTCAAGGTTAATAAGACTTCATAATTAATGTTAACCATATTTTTATATATTCTATTATTTAAATTTTTTTGTAAAAGAATAACATAAAAATCTTTTCTTCGATCATCTACTGATTTAAGATTTAAAAAGTCACTTC